GCTGGAGCATATACTCCACCCTTCTCAAACAGCCGCATGTTACGACTCAAGTTGGCAAATGCCATCCGAGCCTTCTGTATGAGCATCATCATCATCGTACAGTGAAGCGAACCTCACTGCCGCTAAGCTCACAATGTACACAAATCAAGTGATACAGCATAAGATGGGAAGGGATTGGGCCTAATTGGAGGGAGGCAAATAAAGTCAACCACTATGGTCAACACAGAGTAAATCTAAGTGCGCATACGTATCTTTTCGAGCATTCTGACCTGGTAAGAAATCACAAAAAAACACCACTGCCATTGGCTCACTGTCATATCCTTCAGTGTCTTCAATTAGCCAGTTGCAGTCTTTCGGACTCCACCTATTCTACTTAATCGTTCTGTGCATTTCTTCATGCCTCGTTTCCACGTTATTTGTTGACCTCCACGTGGTTTCTTTCAACCTGGAGCCACAACTGCGAATAGGGCGCGGTGCGGTAGATGATGATTGGGCATGTGCATTGTGTCCTAACCAGTGAAGACCACTAATCTGAACACGATGGGACAACGAATTCTCTATCGAATCATTACCAAATACGCGACCCCCTACACGCTCGCTCCATCCAACCCGCACCAAACTACGTAAACATCGGCGGTCGAAGATCTCTAGACAACAAATACCTTCCACGAGCAAATTTAGGGTCTCACAACTGTAGAGCAGAACTGACCGCACACTGGTGCAGTATACGTGATCTTTCAGTTTCAAGGGAACATTGCGTCTGAACCAAAGGTGTTTCAATCCTGCGTAAGCTGCTCAAGCCTTGGAAATGCGGACGGTTACTTCACTGCCCATGCTACCGTCATCTGTCAAGCAGCTACGTAGGTAGGTGTAACATTCCACTACAGCTAAATCTTGACCATCAAGCATCAGCGCTGGGGTACACGACACCCAGTCTTGTAGCATCACTTTGCACTTTGAAGGTGCAAAGCGAATGCCGAAAGGAGTTACAGAACTTGAAAGTTTGTCAAGAGCGCTTTGCGCATACTCCATACATCCGAACAAGAAAACGATGTCATCAGCGTACTCTAAATCGCAAAGCTTTTCTCCTGCTATCCATTCAATACCTACGTTTTGGAGACCACTAAGTGCGTTCTCCAGTATTTCGTCTACGACGAAATTGAACAGAGATGGCGAAATAGGGCACCCTGGACGAACACCGCTTCTGATTTTGAACAATTTACTTGGCCCCACATAGACCCGTACTCCACCAGAAGTATGCAGGATCAGCGACCGCAATAAGTTTATATACTTCCTCGGCATTCCGTTGCGAAGCAGCGACCCCATAAGAGCTTCACGATCAACAGCGAAGGCTCCTTTTAGGTCAAGGAACATTGCGATTGTTGGCCGACGATGTGTAACGCAATTCGAGGACTTGACGTGAAGTGAAGATGCAGTCGATGCAACCAAGACCTTATCGGAATCCGGTTTGCTGTTCATCCTTAAGAGTGTTAGGCGGCGAAGTATCCCAGAAGTCAAAACTTTTGCGATTATCGGAACTAAATTAATCCCGCGGTGGTTAGCGCAGTCGTTGCGTGATCCCTTCTTGAAGATCGGGCCGATCAACGATTCACCCCAGGATAAAGGGATACGCTCCTCCGACCAAATGCTGCAAAGTAAGCTGATAACCGAGTCGACAAGAGAATCACCGCGCAACTTGAAAAGAATAGGGAGAAGCCCATCGGGTCCCGCAACCTTCCCTTTCTTTAATGATTGAATGCAACTTCGTACTTCCAATTCCGATGGGGGCTCCTATGTTGCCTCCCATGGAGTTTCCGCCGCAATTGCTGGAATGACCGGAAGGTGAGGTATAGCTGCCTAGATAGCAAAATTTGTCTACTTCCTCTAATACTTCCCCAGTCAGGGTGAGATTGTGTTGGACCAACATTTTACACTTTGAAGGTGCAAAACGCATACCGAACATGGCTACACTAGCACTCAAACTATCCAGAACGGCGTGCAACTTACCTGGATCTTCACTCAGTAGCACGATGTCGTCTGCATAATCCAGGCATTCTACCGCCGATACAGGTGTCCTCGCAAGAGTATAGGGCTATTTCAGGAATTAAATCTATAAATAGAAACGGAGAAAGAGGGCAACCCTGTCGAACACCACTTTCTGTGGTGAACACGGGTGAAAAAGTGCCGGACTCGACTTCGGTTATTATTGTAGATGGATTGTAATACTGAAATACACTTCTCGGGCGCACCCTTCAGGGACAGACTGCGCCAGAGTTTAGAGCGGTCGACTGAGTCGAAAGCCGTTTCCAAATCGAGGAAGATGGAAATGGTGGGTCTACGAAAGGAGTATGTGTTCTATGATTTGACGAAGAGTGAAGATGTAGTTGATACAGCCAAGACCAGGTCTAAAATCAGTCTGATTCTCACGCGTGCACTCTTCACGTACGGTAGATAATCGACGGGGTATGATGCCGGCGAGAAGTTTATAGGCAAAGTTGATTAAACTGATTCCTCCGTGGTTTTTCACAAGACGACCTGTCTCCCTTCTAGTAAATCGGTATGATCACCGATTCACATCATTCAGTTGGAACTTGCTCCCTTTCTCATATTGAGCCCAAATGTTCGTTAACTCCAAAACCAAACCATCCTTGAAAACCCATGGAGATAGCCCACCAGGACTGGAACCCTTATGCCTTTTGAGATAATTTCTTTCTCGGGTAACCTCCATTTCAGATACGGTATTGATTTCAACTGGCAGTATTTGCACAGTTGAACCAGGTATAGAGATGACAACTAAGTTACTTCCGTTAATTGTTCCCATTATTTGTTATCACCTGTTGTGACATTGTTTGTGTTTAATTGTTTCTTTGCTACTGTTGACCGTTGTCAGTAGTCAAACTCCAGTCGGACAGTCTTTCCTGTTTCCTACTTTCCCATTGGTTGACTGTAATCTGTCTTTGTCTTGGCGGCCGACCATCTTGGTTTGCTTACTGTTTGCTCTGACCACCACACATTGGGGCTGCTTTTTGGACTGGTGCTGATCAAATTACTTCGAAAGTACGTTTCCTTCCGATTTCGATCTTCTCGTTTACCACATTGTATGTTAATGTATTGTTTTATAATTACAGAACAGGCAAGAATCCGAGATGTTCTGACTATCTTCTGANGGGGGGGGGGGTGCGTATTCGACTAAATAGTAGCAAAGTACCGTACATATGAATCACGTATCAACACCTATCAATGAATTAAAGCAGAAGTTGAATAAACGATTTCACTTAGTTATTGCGTATCAGTAGTCAGCTCTTCTTCAGTTTTAAACATATATCGAAACTTCCACCGGGGCAATTTTTCTAACCCAATTGCCGAAGTTCCGTTCTAAATAACGTCCGTTCGATTACAACAATACCACAGAATGGGGTGCAGTGTCCACCATAATCTACTGCGATTTTGGCTATGACGTCACAAAAATGAAGGACCATAAAAGGACTCTAAGGGGACGATGTTGCTGGCAGTCAGTTCCAGTTTGTACAACCATTAACCAAGCACTATCGTGCGCCGGTTTTGGTTGCTATCTTTTGGCTGCCCATTTGGATGAACATTAGCAGAAAGACAGGAGATTGAAAGTGAAATCGAAGAGAAAACTGAAAAGTTCGGTGGACTAACGATATAGAGAAATTGAGAAGATACAAGAAAGCCACTGTTTACGACACCCAGCCATATCAATTTGTCTCTAACCATCGGGTACAGCCATCCCGGGGACCCCATCCAAGGAGCC